ACCCGAGGCATGTTCATACCTTTGCAAAATTCATTTTAAAGAGGCAACTTCACTTTCAGAAGCTGAGCAAAAGACAATCGAATCATCAGCGAAAAAAAGATAGGAAATTTCTAGAGCCCCTCGACAGATTCTAACACCAGTTAACACCCGAGCCTGTTGAGCCCGATTAATAGCGAGCGCTAGCGCTTCAGCACAGATAATGAATAAGTACGGTGACAAAGGATCCCCTTGCCGTAAACTCCTGGATGGACGGGAAAAACCAACATGTTTCCTATTAATAGTAATGGAATAAGTAAGTGTAGAGACATAGGCAGAAACCATTTTAATCCAATGCTCATGAAAACCCAAACGATGCATCATTTGAATAAGAAAAGCCCATTCAATCCGGTCATAGGCCTTGCTCATATCCAGCTTAAGTGCTGTGAACGCCTGCTGCCCTTTCCGTTTATTTTTAAGGTAATGGAGGATCTCATGAGTAACAAGAATATTGTTTATAATATGACGTCTTGAAACAAAAGCACTTTGCGTCTCGCTAATAATAGCATCCATCACAACTTTCAATCTATTAGACATCACCTTCGCAATAATATGATACGCAACATTACATAAAGAAATAGGCCGAAAATGCGTAACGAGCGTAGGCAACGAAATTTTTGGAATCAGAACGATATTAGTATGATTAAAACTTTTAAGTAAATTTTCCTGTGAAGACAAGAACCCATTGTCTCTCGCTTGTCAGAGTTCTCCGTTTCATCGGTGTGTCTCTACTAGTTAGAGCTGCTGGTTTCTCTCAGATCTGAGGTTAGGATCTTGTTTCTTTTCTTTTGTTATTTTCTGTTTCTGTGGTTGTCTTTTTTGTCTGGGATTGGTGGTAGTGTTTGTTGCGGTAATCCTCAATTTGTGCTGGGTGTTTGTTGTTGCTGTTCTTGGTTATCTTGTATAAGAAGTGCAATGGTAAAATTGGTTTGTGAATTGTAGGCTCGGGATATTGCAAGAAAAAATCTCACCGACAACAAAACGCTCCCCCCTCTCTCTACCTTTCTCTCCTACAGAAGCTGTCGTCTTCTTCCTTTGGCGCTCCCTACTCCCTTTCATGGGAGTGGGGAGCTGCTAGTTGCCTCCCCCGGATGCAATAAACCCGGCGTGTTCGAATAAGTGCATTCCGTGGGTGTTTTTTTACGCCGTTTTTGTTTATGTTCGGCTCGATCTGCTCTTGTTTGTTTCGTTTTCGTCTTCCCTGGGCAGCTCTGTTGTTCTCCTTCGGCTAGATCTCTGATCTAGGTCGGTTGTGGGTTTTTTCCCGCTTAGATTTGATCATTTTCTCCTTGATTGGATATTGTGCGGGGTTTTATGTGTCGGAGCGCCTTGTGGTTGTAGCTTTGGAGCGGTTGCCGTGCTGATACCCAGACCTTTCAGTCTCTCCCGTTTGCTACTTTCTTCCGTGGTGGTTTCGTTTGCACAGTGTTGGGCTCTGTTTCCTCCACAAATCTGGAGCCTGTTTTTCATTTATTTGCTTTGCTTCAAGCTTTGTATACCTTTTCTGGCTTGATTTTATGTCTTTATACTGCCATCTTGGCTTTAGGCCTTTGTGCCTTTGAATGATAAAAAAAAAATAAAAAATAAAAAATAAAAATTGTAGGCTCAGTGGCCCCCATAAAAAATAAAAAAAAATAAAATAAACCATAATTTATGGAAGTGAATTACTACTCTAATTGGATACTATAAATGGAAATAAAATATTGGGTTCAAAGCTAGGAATATCAAATCGTCACTCCTTGTCCAACATCGCAACACCTAACCTAACAATAGTACATAAACCCCAAGTCTTTTAATTCACAATCATTGTATATTGTTCTTTTCTTTATTAGTTAGAATTAATAGTCATTATTAATCAGAATAATTGACACGTCACGCGCTATTGACGTGTACTCTTGATTGTAATTGTATGATGCCATCACATCAAATACATTCTCAGGTATACAAATTTAAGTATCTTTAATACAGTAATATTTAGTTAATTAATCATTTGAAGATAATATATGTTTAAATTATGGGTTATATGTTTTATATAGTACCATTACATATGTGATTCTTTATTGCATGACCTTACATTTTCAAAGAACAGGAACTAATTTGCCAATTTAGCGAGAGTCGGCTTCTCAATCCAAAAGTTTCCTAAATTGTTTCTCATTTATTATTATTATTATTGGTCTTGAAACCTTGACTTAGAGTTTGGAATTTTAGATTTTTTTACATATTTTAAACATTAATTCCTTCATTTTGTAAGGGAAAATAAAAAATTCCTTTCACTATCTGAGAATTAGTAATCACACAGTAATAGTGAAGTCGTTATAAATAAATTGATTCATAAAGTTATGCCAGAAGCCCAGAACCCATTGATCAAGACTGTGCAAACTCATATAGACTGTGTACGCATGTGTGTGTGTCAACAAGCTAGAGATGGGAAAAGGTTGAAGTCACTAAGGGTCCACTGTCAAAAAGAAACACACACACACATTAACAATGGCTTATTGTTCACTCCCAATTTTGTTAATTAATTTGCAAAACATGCTCTTAATTACAAAAATGCTGAGTTGGGTTCTAGTTTCAGTTGACAGATTGGAAATACAGCCAATCATTTTTATGACGTGCCTTTTCTTTTCTGCTTCAATATATGCCAGGTAGGGCAGAAAAATTCTTGGATGGTAGTGAAAAAAAAACACAGCTGGAATATTGCGTGAGTAAGGCTGTTGACACGTGGAAGTGAATTGAAAGGCTAATTATAGCAAAAATGTGAGATCCTATATATATATATATAGTTCTTCTGTCACACTCAAGTTGAGCTCCATTATTTGCATCTTTGTGCATGCTAAGTGCAATGGACCCATTCATGTCATGATCTTCTGTGTAGAGCTCTAATTATTAGCATTGGATGATACATTTGTGACAAATGTATCTTTGTCTTCATTTTCATTATTATTGGCTTGGCAACAATAATAAACAAATAATCACAGAATTCATGTGGACATTCTTTTTTCAATTTATGAAAGCAGCTCTCCATCATTTAGTAGACCCCATTTTGAAACAATGTGTGTGCTCCACATTGCATGCATCAATCCATATTATTCTTTGATGATAGATATTAGAATAGGCGGGACTTCGATCTCTAGCTAACTGAATGATTACCATTCTATATCAGGATGCTGTTTCATCTGATTTATTGAGTTGTACAATTTCAGGATTAGATCAGGTTAATTATGAGCATTAATATGGCATGTAGGTTTGATTAATTGTAGACCATAGACATCAATCACAGCTATAGAATACTAGGGCTTATGCCCCCATATGCGGGTAGTCTATAGGGTGACAGATTAAAGCTTATTGCTTGCTTACTTCTCTTAACATTAGATTTAAATGTAATTAATTGCCTTTAAAAAAATTAAATACAACAGGATAATTGACTTGCAATATATATAAAGAATGGGAAAAAAAATGCATGTAATTGATTCCATTATTACAAAATGAAGATAAGGATGGTGATGAAAATGAATTTTTTTTTTTTTTTAGAGGAATGATGCGTGCAGATACTTAGGGTCTGAGAGGATTGTGTTAGAACTTGTCATACGCCATGGAATTAAATACATACAGTCTGTTTAATTTGCATACCCTCGGTGTTTACATTTTTCAAAATGTATATATATAGTTAGGAGACATCTTCTTATAAGTTTACAAACTTTTCTTCTAGACGATGTGAGACGTCACAATATATGACAAGATTGGAAGATAACTTACTCATATTTGGAGGTTAATTAAAAGGTATACATAAAATTGAATAGTATTATGATACATTAAAAAGGATCAATTTGGAGGTTAATTTTCTATATTTTTACTCCTTTAACGCATTAAGTGTTAGAAAATATATGTTTCATATGACATTTAAGATATAACTAATCTTATACTAATATACCATGAGATAATTAATAATATGCTAAAATAATTAATTAAATATGCAACTCGATATTTAATTAAACATTCAAATTAAAGCAATAAAATAATAATTACTAAATAAATAATTTGGACCGAGGCTAGTATTGGATATTATGTCCTTAAGATAATTTACTCCTCGCTTGGTGTTGACGGGCTCAATGCATGATGCTTATCTCCCGAGATACAACGGTTTACATCAACCAATAGCAGGTAGCACTTCAAACTCGTAGATACGATGGACCTCGTCTGTGTAATAATATATCCGACTCAAAAATGTATCTATACTATATAAATGCTGATTTGGGTACAATTCGAACCAAATGGTTCGGACCAATCTTAATATGGCTAGATAAAATTGGATTAGGGTCTAAGTGGCTCGGACCACTTGGCCTATGGTTTGAGCTCACTTTGGTTGAGTTCAAGTCTAGAGTATGAGAGAGAAGAAAATGAATTGAATGAATTGCAAATGGCAGTCCAATGGGGTATTTATAGAAATAAAAGTGCATTTTCGAATTGGGTGTGTCTCTTCATCATTGGACACAACCAATTATATGTGTTTTTTCATTACGGAATAATTTATACGTGTCTCTTCATTGCTGGATATAACAATTTATATAACACACCCACTACAATAAGTTGCAATGATTCACATTGAATAAGTTATGCTTGTTAGTTTTGAGTTGTATCTTTTCATCCAACGTACAAACAACTAGTGATCACACATGTTCAGTCAAAGATTAAATAATTTTCATTCAAATATCCTAACATTAAGTTCTATCCCTTTTAGTATTCTCAGGAAAATTTCTTGTATCTTTGGATTTTCTTGAAAGTTGCCTCTGTGACGATGGTTAACTACACAAGCATAGACGTACTGCGAAAATAATTGTAAGCAACTCCAACGGGCAAAGGTACTTATCATGACAACCTTTTATATAAAAATATTTATATATTTATTTATTTATCCAGTAGTGTGTGTGTATATATATATATATATATAATAATATTTTAGACCGCCTACATTCCATCTCCTACCAACACCCAACTGATCACATTTGGTTTACTTTATTAGAAACTCAAACTCATATACATACATATATATATTTATATATATAGTTTATTATCTTTCTCACATAAATACCTATCCTTTCCCTTCCAAAAACCACAGCTACAATTAATAATGGATCTAAGAGACATTGGAGCTACACTGCCTCCAGGGTTTAGATTTTACCCAAGTGATGAGGAGTTGGTGTGTCATTATCTCTACAAAAAGATAGCAAAAGAAGATGCTATGTTGGTGGAAATTGACTTGCATACTTGCGAGCCATGGCAGCTTCCCGGTACACACATATATCTCTCTTTTAATTACTTTCCATGGCATATTCTTTGTTTTCCATTTTTTCCTCTTTGTGGAATTTATATTTGCACGTCTGTTACTATTGTCCTTTGTGATAATTTTTCAGCATGCCTTTCGCTTTAGTTTCTGGTTTTCTTTTCTTTTCTTTTCTTTTCTTTATATAGGTTATCAGAATTATTTTTGTTTTTCTTCATATATATATATAGATATTAATTAAAACGTATTCTCAACCATAAATGAATTAATTGCAGACACTTGGGGTAGTCTGTAGCACTTGATTTAGATCTTTGCAAGGAGACAAAACATGTTACTCCAAGCTCTTTAATTGCTTGATCGAGCAGAGAACATGTTGCAATAATGGCTTTCATGAGAGTGAGAGAGGGGTACATGGCGGACAAAACCAGTATAGTATTACCGACTTGGGTCCCTAATTGTAGTAAGATTATTTATTCAAGGCTTTTTCAAACAAATTATATTCTTTTACTTTTCGGAAGTGATATAAAATTGTGAAATATAGTGTAAATGATATACAGTATTTACTGAAGAAAAAAAAAAAAGAGAGAGAATAATAAGTGATTTACAGTTTAATTATATTATCCCTTTATGCTAAATAGTTTGCTTCTGGCTTTTTCCATAAAGTGGGAAGGGTATCGAATGGGGTCTTCTTAAAGTTTGAAGTGACTCCAAAAAGAAGGAAAAAAAGATTCTTATGTGGTCATTTTAGTTTTATTATTTATTTATTATTATTTTTTGGTTACACTTCCTTACTATATATATTATTGTGTATAAAAATAGCTAATATTTATTTGAGGACTTCAAAACCTTGGGATGGATATATAAAATTTAAGAAGAAAGGAAATTTAGGAAGAACTGATGTCCTCTTTGACATTGAATTAACGAACAGCCAGAAAGCCCTTACTAGTTACTACTTTTGGAATGTTCATTTATTAAATAAAATACAAAGGCTAAGTTTTCAAAATATTTATTAAATTTATGCTTATTGATCATGTTTTTTGTTTAATTATTTTTATTTTTTTAGGGTATGGTTGTGGCCCTTGTGGGGGCAACTTTTCTTGGATAGGTTCAAATTTTTATTAGGTCTAAAAGGTGAGAATCTTTTTAATGAGTAGGAGGTCTAGCGTTTTAATCTCTTCAGGATAGTGAGTTAAATTATATATGAGTGCATGTATTTCAAAGGATAGCATAGCCTGTTATATAATTGCTATTGCATGTGTAACTCTTATATACTATATATATATATATATATATATATATATATATATATATATATATGTTTTTGGGATGATGTGATAATTCTTTCATCTGACTTGGAAACCTACAAACATGTTTATGGTGTGAAGAGGCGGCGAAGCTTAATTCAAATGAGTGGTACTTCTTCAGCTTTCGGGATCGGAAGTATGCCACCGGCTATCGGACCAATCGGGCTACGACTTCTGGATACTGGAAAGCCACCGGAAAGGATCGAATGGTGCATGATCCGACGACTGGTGGCATTGTCGGGATGAGAAAGACACTGGTTTTCCATCGAAATAGAGCTCCTAAAGGTATTAAAACTGGCTGGATCATGCATGAGTTTCGCCTTGAGACCCTACCTCCTAAGGTCCGTTCTTACTACCCTTCCATTTTACCACCTTAATATTTGTGGTCGCAATTCATGTCCAATTACATATATTATCCAGAAAATACTTCTCTTATCTAGCTATAATGATGGGATGAATTTATTAGAATTAATTTTAAAATATTAAATTTAATAGATAAGATAACTTGTAATAAGAAATAGTAAAAAAAATGATTCATCTAACCAATCTATTGATATAAAATTAAGACGAAAATGATGATGAAAATGCTTATATCACTTTCCATAAACTTATATGTTGTCATATAAATAATCCTGTCATGTAAAGATGGTTGGGTTAACTATTGATTTAACATTGATGTGTAGAATCCAAGTAATTAATTTTTGAAGTTTTTCAATACTCAAGGTCTTATTATTATTATTATTATTTTTTGAAAATAAGTATTAAGACACGTGTGACAGTATTATTGATATTGTGATATGCTGTTGGGTTATAAGGACATCCTTGTAGGATTAGAGACGATATTGTTCAATCAGCTTGTCTTGTCTTGTTTTTAATCTGTAGATCGAATTGCTCCTCCTCCTTGTCCTCTTGTTACAATTGTCACCCCCTACCACATATCCTCATGGAAAATCGATGAATTCTTGTGCATATAGCTAATAATATTTCCTTCTGTTAATCGTATATATTTTGGTTGCAAATGAATACAAATACAATGTCACAACCTTCGATCACTGTGGATTCCTTAGTTTTAAAATATGCATTATACGTAATATATGTATTCTGTACTACGTATGCATGTATGCACTTGTGTGTATATATAACTTCTAATATATACGTTCATACTCAATAATGACAGGAAGACTGGGTGTTGTGTAGAGTATTTCACAAAAGCAAGGGATCAGAGGACAACAGCAACAATGATCTTAGCCCGCAAAATGAGTTTGAAACCCTAGTTGGTGACATTTCTCCAAATTTGGCTTCATCTACTCTTACTCATGTCCACCAAGGTACCTTGCCTTGTGGGTATCAGCAAATCACATCATTCTTGCAAACCCAACCCCATGATCAAAGTCACAACCCTAGCAATAGTACTACTATCCTAAATATAGCCACGTTAAACCCTAGTTTTCTGGATTTAGCTCATGAGACAAACAATATTGATCATGTTGATGAAATGAATTCAAGGTGCGAGCTGGATGAATACGAGTACGAGTTCTTGTTTGATATGGGTTTTGGAGAAAGCAGCTGCTTGGGTGGTGATGGAGTGCTGCCTCCAAGTTTAGAGGATCATATGAGATTTGATGATGATCATAAAAGTACTATAGTTCTTTGTTGATAAGAAAACACAAGCCGATTGTTTATTTGTGCATGATAATACTGTGGTGGTGAATATTTTTTTTATTTTATTTTATTTTATTTTATTTTTTTTTTAAGGTACAATTCATGTTTGATTGGATCTTTAGAAGATTGGTTAAATATAGAGATATGTATAGGTATTGATCAATACTAGCTTTGTATTTACATGTATTGGCTATAAATTTGATTACATTCTTAATTATATATATATATGCTCTTTTTTTTTTTCATGCAAATTTTCTATTCATGAAAGTTGTCAATGCAAAAATCTACATGCTCCAGAGCCAGTGGCAATTCTTGCAAGACAAGAGAAGTGATTATCGGCGTGGTGCCAGCCAGGTGTACTCCGACGATCAAGTTAGTACTTGACGATTGAATATCCCAGAAAGGATCATCCTTTCTATGAGATTTATGGCGTACCTTTTTATGTTGACTGGCCTCACTTTTATAGAAAGTTGAAGTTGTCGTTTCCACATTTACTCAGTGAGAGACTGGTTTTCACTCGTGACACCTCAAACTTTGTTTACCCATGGGATTGTTCCTCAGTCTGTTGGCAAGTCAAGAAAAGCAGACGAGCCAAATAATTCATTATCATTTATCAAGCAACATCATATCCTTCTTCGACAAAGACTCACTTATCTTCTTAAAAGCAAGTTGAGCATTGCCTAGAACAGATGCTGCTGAAGAGTAGGGGTCTGAGGGGAGTACCCCTGCTTTAGTAAGGGGTGGCCTAGTCTCATCCATAAGCTGATGAGGGAATTGCGAGTCGGATACATGCGGAGAAACAACTGAAATCGGTAAGACTCTTTGTGCTATAATAGTAGCCGTCTTTTTTTTCCTCTTAGCGGGGGAAGTAGGTGGGAAGTCACTTAAGCCTTCTTTGAACTGAGCTAGAAGCCTCTTATTAAGTTTCCGGGATATGGTTACAGAGGACTTGCCAATAGGCTGAGGACCAACCCCATGGGTAAACAAAGTTTAAGGTGTCACGAGTGAATACTAGTCCCTCACTGAATGGTTAAAGGCTTCCTTTATTTGCTGGAGATCATCAGATGAAATGACAATCTCTTTAAAGCCTGAGAGGATGACAACTCTGTTAATAACTCAAACCAAAATTTTTTGAGTTTTAAAACAAAAGAGGGTATCATTATGGGTAATTCACTAATGGAATTCTGACTACACCACGCACGAGGAATGGAAGTCCTTATCCGCAGGAAAGCACTTTCATCAGGAAAGAATTCCCAGCCATCACCAGAAACAAAAAAGAAACGACTTTCCATGGTTTGTGCTTAAGGGGATTTCTAGAGATAAGAATTTTATCCCGTGGGGAGAAGAAGAACCGGTCACCCCTTTTGGGAATGTAGCAATGAAGAAACTCCTGGATAGTAAGCGAGGTATTACAACAAGCTCGCCACAGAACTAAACAACCCATCATTGTTCTCCAGACATTCGGGGAGAGTTGAGTTAGAGCAAGATTAAAGTGACGCAACAGTTCCCTAATAAAAAGAAGGATTGGAAAACGCAATCTGGCAATGACAGCAGACTCATAGGAACAAATCTCAGTTGGGTAAAAGGAGGACGCTCTATCCTCAAGTAAAGGAAGTCTAAGAGCAACACTGTCTGGAATTGAATAAGTTTGCCTAATCTGATCTAGATCATCTGGGGTAAGGGAGCCTACTATATCCTGTACCAAATGTGTCTCTGACGGAGCCGAATCAGATTAGTGGTGTTCCTCGTCCGACATAGTGTTAGATTCTGGGTGAAACATGCTGGCAGTAACACACGTTGCTGTATGCAAGAGCCTAGCTTCACAGTGACCTATAAAATTTTCTAACTTTGGTCTTGGTATACTGAGTTGGAGGAAGAAGCAATAACGAATTAAATAGAAGAAGGAAGAAAATAAGGGCATTGAACTTACCACATCACTACGACTAGTACTACTTGGCTTTCTGGAAGATAGAAGTAATTTGAATGAATTCTACTCAAACCATCTCGATTTATAGAAGAAGAACGTAAACAAATAAGGAAGATATTTATGGTGGAATTCTAATAGAAATCTGCTTTGTGAGGGACAATCAGCTCCTAGCGGACTATTTTGCATAAAAATTTACTTTTACAATATAGAATAGGATTAGGAATCAATCCTCGAATAGGACAACCACACTGGCAGCCGCACATGAGTTACCTATGTACCGAGAGGTAGGCAACTCGACCCCCGACTGTATTTGCGAAGTGGCAATATGAGTCAGGCTAATGGACAAGGCTCTACTACAATTCTAACTATCTATTATTATGTAATATTTGGGAATTAACGTTCTGGTGGTTTAACAAGCAATCTTCCGAAACAGGAGGCAACTGATGGATGTATAAATTAAATACCCGTGGATAAGGGAAGGTTGTTAAATTAACGTGTTATCTCATAAGATTGAGATAGGCTTTACAGATTACGATAAGGATTAAACATATAGATTACGATAAGGATTAAACCTATAGATTACGATAAGGATTAAACCTACAGATTACGATAACGATGAAGACAGCGGTAACTCTATATGATATCCTGACCTAAGCTCTATAAATAAAGGGGGCTAATCAACGTTTTAAGGTACGCAATAAATCCTAACTCAATTTCTTGATTTCTTTAGATAGATTACTTCGCACACTGACTTGTTCGTCGAAACCTATTCCACCGGTAACACACCGGTGTTTGTAGGATCACCTTTTCTTCTCTTTGTTCAGGAAGTCAGATCAGATCCGGATTGCGCAGAATCCATCCTCAACAAAAGTGATTACACTTTCATGAAGAATGGAAACCTTAAAAATGTAATTCAATTCAAAAAATTATTGGTTACCAACTATGTAGTAATCTCCGTTAATAACACTCATTATTTTCCTTGATTTCTTTGATGATAGAAAATAATAACGTACTTGATGCCCAATATCGTTCAAACTCATATATATATATCACAATTATAAGGTATTCTAAGAAACTCAATGTTTTGAAAAAGAAAAAAAAGACTCAATCTTATCTTTTATATATAAGACTCAATCTTATCTTTTATATATCTTATATATATATATATATATAAAAGATAAGATTGAGTCTTTTTTTTTCTTTTTCAAAACATTGAGTTTCTTAGAATACCTTATAATTGTGAGTACACACAATCCCGTCCCATATGCACAGGCAACAACGGAAAAAATTCGGAGAGTTAATAACTTTCAAAAACGACATTTTAATTAACTTTTTAATTTTTAACTGGGAAAAATATATATGGAATAAACAAAAGAGGCCAAGCTTCGTTATAGGATTCAGTCAAGCCCATGTTCAAACATTCAGTTTTAAGAATGGGCACACTTTTACTGTTTCAGTTGTTGGGCTTCTTCCTTGGATTGAGCCAAGCCCAAGTCGAAACTTTGATTTTTTTTTTCGGAAGGTAAAGTCGAAACTTTGATTCTGTTACGGGTATGTGGAAAATGCATGATTTGACAATTATTAGTTTTTGGCAAAACTGTATTTTAATGTGGGTAAAAATGTAATTAAACAACATTTTAACCGCAGGAAATTAAAAATAAGCGGACCCCCGGAATGAAAAGAATCAGTTGTCGCTTCTCGCTTCTTGCTTCCTTCCTTAAAATCGGTTTTAGAAAAACTTCAGTCACACGACTCATGAGTGGGACTAGATTAGGGTTTTCACTGTACACAATGATTTCGGATCGTTGCCCAAACTTCAACGGAAATTATCATTCTTGAATCAAGAACATGTGAGACTGGCCCCATCACTTCTCACTTGGTGTTTTTGGGTATGTCTTATCTCATTACCTTCTTTCTTGTGATGTTCAAACATGAATTGGGTAGGATGTGATTTTTTTTTTGATAAGTGGGTAGGATGTGATTTTCAAAATAAATTATGACATTGTTGTTGAATCTGGAGGAGTGTCTTTTTAGAATTAGATGTCTTCGTTTCATTTGGGAAATCTATTAAAAGAATAGCCCTTTTGGCATGCATTTTGTGCAAATGTTGCATGGGTATTAGAAATTTTTTGTGGAGCTGTGATGTTTTATTAGATAAGATGTTATTGAATGATGGATGGTAAGTTGTCAGTTGTATTATGAAGTCGATGGCTAATGGGGTAAAAATGAATTTGAGGTTTTTGTGTCCCATAAACATATGAGGTATAGAGGTTTTGTTCCATTTTTTATACTATATTTTGCGGTTCAAATTGTTTGTTTTTATGGAATTAAGTTACCAAGAAGAGGTTATAATCTTGGACTTATGATGAGAGTTGAGCTTTAGTTAGGTATCTACCTTTATGATCAACCTAAAAATATACTTTCTTTGCCCTCTGTTGGTCCAGAAAAAGATGGGAGGAAAAGAAAGGAAAGTTTGAATTCTACAATAATTAGCATTCGACTGGTGGTTCAACAGTTTCCTATTGTCTTATTATTTTGCTTTTCCGGGAAACAATTTGAAGTACATTGATATATTCCATTTCTCATTAAAATGAATAGTGTGTTGGTTATTCTGTTACCCTCGTGGTCTTGGAGGTGCCTATGCTCGTGTTTTTGCAAGGAAATGATTTATTGGGGTGCTTGAAAGCAAATGGCGTGAGATTAGTGGGAGAATGTGATACTTGGATGGAAGAATTTATGTAGCATGAAATGTCTAATGCAATTTGTGTGCAAAACTTTCTCAATCGTGTGGAAACCTTTTTAACAGTTTCAGTGTGAAAATCGTCACTATATGCAAATATGTGGGAAATTCACAAGATTGATGTAATTTACCTTCCACAACTCTTTGTAGCACCATATATATTCACTGGCATATGTGCCTGATGGATTTAGCCTGCTGGTTTGGTTATGTCAGGTAACACCTTCAGATATTGGGCTTTCTGTATGCATCTTTGTTGAAAAACAGAAGAGAATAGAAGCATATGAAGAATTAGATTATTTGGTCATCCCTAGACAGCATCATGAAAATTCACAAACCAATAATTCGTTGCATTACACACACACTAGATTCTCCAAATGATAAAAATTCTCTCTCTTATATGATTTATGACATGCAAGAGCATGTTGAACCATACATGTCCATTCTGAATATTTAGACATGGTTTGTTTGTGACCATTCATAATTTTTTTTTTTTTTTTTTTTGCATTCTTCTCTTTTTGTAGATAGTATTTTAAACTTTGTACAACAAATGGAAGTCTGCTGGGTGTTAAGCAACTTTTATGTATAATACTACAGTGATAAAGGAGGTATGGTTTCTCTCCAATATTTTTCCAATATGCTATTATCAGATTGTCCTTTTTTCTATTGTTAAGAAGTGACTTTCAGATATTTGGCATTTGTTAATTCTTCTCTTCCTTTGCAGTGCAGAGGGGAATGGTGCTCATGGGCTCTTCTGCTAAAAAAGACAAAATGGAGAAGCTCTCAGTTCCACCCGGTTTTGTGTCACTAACATCCTTCAAGCTTAAGAGGGTAGAAAGTAGCGGAAAAACATTTAGTTCTGGGGCTTCTGAGAGCGTGCTTGAACCTGCGTCAGCAGAGATGGATACTGCTTGCAACATAGTTGACGCTGCAAAGCTTAAGAAGTCTCTTTGGCGTAGACCGTGGATACTTTATAATCAATTAACTCACAATCCTGAGAAATCTGACTCTGAACTGCTTGATATGGTCATCTATCTTCTTTGTTTTATTTTTATGCAATGCTTTTAGAGTGCGGGATTATAAACTGGTGTTGAAGTATATTGATTATTTATGAGTATGTGGTCATCTATCATCTTTGTTTTATTTTTATGCAATGCTTCTAGTGTGCGGGGTTATAAACTGGTGTTGCAGTATATTGATTATTTATGGGTAGAGTTTTTGTTTTGTTTATTTTTGTTTTGTTTTAAATCTTAAAGCTGTAGTCCAGCAAATTAGTAAGGATTTTTAGTACTGTACAAGAACATGATAAGGGAGGCATGAAGCATGTTTCTTTGTACACACTACACACTTTATAACCTGTTTTATTTACATATCTTTTAGAAACTACGCCTTAAATGACTATGATGAAATAGATCAGTTTTTAGATGAGAAATAATAAAATTAAACATGAATAGAGCATGAGAAGTTAAATGGAGAATCAATTAACATCAGCGTTGAAGATTGCTGACTGCAATGATAAGGGAAATAGTGGTTCCTGTTGATTACTACATGGTGAAGGATCAAATTAAGACATATATTTACACTGAGGCTATATAGAAAAACATGGTGGGTGAAACAGGAATATGACCTTGCTGTACAAAATGGTGAAGGCGGCATCGAAACTTATAATAAGTAGATTATTTCACCAAATCTTCTTTTTTTTTTCTTCTTCAAATTGGTAACTAATCTAATGCAATTTAATTCTAAACTCTTGCTGAAAGTTGAGGTCTGGTATGTGTGACTTTATTTGGTACCATTTTGTAATCTTGCATTTGGCATTTTCCACCCAAAGTCATCATCAGTGCCAGCTCAAATGGTTGGCAATTTAGGTGGTTGCCTAAGGCGTCCAACAAAAAAATCCTTCTTAAGGTAGGGCTCATATAAATATTTTTGTATTGTAAGGTATATTTACTCTCTTTAATAGGCTTTTTTTTTTTTAGTTAGGTTTACCATTAACTTACCTTTATAATGTGAAACATGATTTTTAATTCCTATTTTTTCTCCAATCTCCCAATCTTTTCCACCTCTATTCTATGCTTTCTATTTTCTAAATTTATATTTTATCTTCTTTCCTAACTTCTTTAATGTCTCACCTTTTCTTACTCTCACGCCCCTTCTTCTCTCCCGCCTTTTTCTCTTTTATTTAGTTTTTTTTATTCATTCAGAATTCACAGCTTCTTCTTTCCTTTATTTTCATATGCTCCCCCATCTCTGTGCCCCAAGTTTTGGAACACAGAAAAATTGGACAAGACTTAATGATCAATGTAACGGTTTTCTTTTATTTTTATTTTTCTTATAAATATGTTTAATAAAAATGTTATTTTGGATATAAAAAACTTTAAAAAGAAAATTAAACTTAATAGACACTATTAGAAAACTTAAATTCAAAATTTTATTAATATTTTACATCTCAAAATGTACAAAGTAATTTCTAAACATCGAAACTTATTTATGTGATTTTATATCAATAAAATAAGTATCAAAAGGCTACAGCTAATCTTTTGCCTTAGGTCTCAAATTACATTAAGCCGGCCCTGGTCATGATGTCGGATTAGGTGTAGGATCATGAGCAGTGCGATGGGTCCTAACAGTTAGATGGGGAAAATGCATACATTTTTTAAACTCTAGCTGGTCAGCATGAAACTTCTTATTAGTAACATATGATACTTTATCAGGATATGTCCTTTCATGAAAAATATTGGCCCCATATTTTCCATAGCATGTTGAGTATTTTATTGTAAGATCGATAATCAATGTAATGCATCCTTATTCCTGAATATTAGCTGATACTCGTGTTATTTGCAGAATGTTCTTTCGAAGACTTGCCTTCCCAAAGGGGTGATCCACAGCTGTTCAAGTTCTAGTAATTGCCAGAAGGTTTATTCTTTTTCTTAATTTGATTATTTTCTAAAAAGCATGGACACCGACACAGATAGGATACAACGTGGATACACCAATATGTGAATTCTAAAAATGTAGGACACAGACACGACGTGAACCCGACTAATATCAATATAAATATTCATTTATATATCTATTGATTAAGACAATTGTAATACTTTAATTAATTTATATTTATATGCTAAAGTTACATAATTTAGAAGATGAAGTTATTCGAATATAAAAAAGAAATATATTATATTATACATGATATTACTCTCCTATCTTGTCATTATAAATATGTTTTTGTTCATTACATACTGTGAATGTCAATTTTTTGAAGAAAGGGAGGTTGGACACTTGGATGTATTTTCATAATGTTGTTTTCGTGATTGTCATGTGTTAGCTTTATATAAGACGGAGAGTGTAGGATGTTTTGGTTGAGTATCCAGAATGTGTTGACCAAGTGTTTGAGATGCGTCTACCAACTTTCTGAGATAAAAAAAATTATATTTAAATTATGTACACGGCCATGAAGTGTTGGACATGTGTTCAGAAGTGTCTATGAAGTGTCAGTGTCTCACACGGCGTCAGACACAGACACGGCACCATGGTAGAAGTGTCCGTGATTCTTACATTATTTTTCATTGAATAATCTCTAGAACCATTTTTGACCTTCGATTGGTGCAAATTCTAAGATATAACTATACAAGTCTTCCTTTTCCTGCTTTAATGCTCATAATCATGTATGGTGTTCGGAGCAGTTTACAGCAAGGTGGCTTCCTGAAGAGGCACATACTACTGTGCTGGAAGAGGCTCCCATTTTCCACCCAACTGAAGAGGTACTTCTTGACAACAACAATAAATGACATTTATGCTTTCCATTTTTCACCTCCATTTTGTTTCCCATTGTCTTTTGTTCATATATGAGTGCTTTGGCTGCTAGATATTTGGCTATCTGTATGAACTTTGGATCTTCATACAGGAATTTAAAGACACACTTGAGTACGTTGCAAGCATACGCCCACGAGTAGAGCCATATGGAATTTGCCGCATTGTTCCTCCTCCTTCCTGGCAACCACCTTGTCATATTAAGGAAAAGAACATATGGGAAAGTTCTAAATTCACTGCCCGTATTCAAAGGATTGATGAGCTTCAAACTTTGTATTCAAAGAGAAGAGTACATTTTCATGAAAAGATGAAGGGAAAAAGGAAGAGAACTTTGGGAATGAGTTTGGAATGTGGGTCTAGTGATGGACATGCCATAAACCCTGAAGCTAGATGCTATACTAGGGTTTTTGAATTCGAACCTGGTCCAGAGTTCACTCTGGAAACTTTCAAGAAATATGCAGATGATTTCAAGATGCAATATTTTCGCAACAAAGATGAAGTTGTAGATCCAGATGTCAATTCTTCCGTGTCTCAAGAGCTGCAGGAACCATCAGTGGAGAATATTGAGGGCGAATATTGGCGGATTGTTGAGAATCCCAGTGAAGAAATTGAGGTATGTTGGAGAAAGCATGACAAGCCTATTGACTGTTCTAATTCATTTTCTGTTTTATCTGGCAGCATATCTTATTTTGTGTGTGTGTGTGTTATATTTAGGTGCTTTATGGAGCTGACCTTGAAACTAGAGTTTTTGGAAGGGCATTTCCAATAGTGTCCAATTCAGCAGAGACACCTGATTATCCTGAATATGTGGAGTCTGGTTGGAACTTGAATAATACCCCTAAGTTACCTGGTTCTCTTCTTGCTTTTGAAAATTGTGAGACTTGTAGCATTCTACTCCCTCGACTTCATGTAGGAATGTGCTTTTCATCACTTTGTTGGGTAAGAATTAGAGGCTCTTCATTGCCCAGAAATAAATTATCAGTTCCTATACGTGTTCCTGCTCACGTGTTTTGAATTATATAATTGTATTATATGCTTGTTAAGTTCTGTATTGGTATTATTTATGATTTATTTTAGTTCTTGCAGTATCTATTTATTGTATATGGTTGGCTTTCCAGCTGTTCTGGATGCAGATTGATCATCATTTTGATTTAATTGTTTATTTTTGAGAAACAGAATGTTGAAGAGCACCATTTATACTCACTCCATTACTTGCATTCGGGTGCTCCTAAAATATGGTATGGCATCCCTGGAAGATATTCCATTATGTTTAAGGAAGCTGTGAAGAAGAACTTTTCAGATTTGTTAGCAGAATCTCCTCAATTGCTTCATAAGCTGGTGAGTGTAGATATCCTTCTTTCTCATATTGTCGCATCATGCAAGGGAAATGCTTTTGTTGCTGGAAATTGTTGACTGCATCCATGTTTTGTAATACTTTTGTTGGAATATTTTTACAACCAGCCAAAGAAAATTGCATTTTGTTCGAATTTTATGAGAAGGAAAACATACTTGAAAGTTGTAAGTTGCAGTGCAGTCCTAAAAACGTCTCTGATAATTTGATTCATTTGTAAATAGATCTAGAGAAGGGTGAATAGTTTATTATCATTTTGCTACTAATTTTGATTTTTTTTATTTTTATTTAATAGTCACAACCACGAAATGGAGCAAAACAATTTAAGTGAAATAGCAAAAGCAAGCATCTAGAAAACCCAAAAAGATTGGACCTAGTTCAGAGCAAACAATCCACTATGAAGCAAAAAATTACAACTTTGTTATACTAATTCTCTCCCGTATTGTTACTAGTCAATTCATTTACTTCAGAACCAAACTTATGCTGACACTCCACTTAGGTTCTGTTACGGTCATTGAACAGATTCGTCTTAACACACTCCATTATTGTCATCATTGTCGATTGCTTCGCAAAAATTAAGAGAGCCCAACTATCATTGCACAACTACTGCTATTGATCTTTATGATCATGCATATATTTGCAAAACAGAAAGTGCAGTAGAAAGCCTTTGGAATATAGAGATTTTCAATGAAGAACTCTCACGGCAGCTCTCTTGTCTTCTTTCTTGTGTTATTGCACATCTCTTTGTCTAAATTCCTATGAGATATATATTCATATGTATATATATGTGAGAAACCTTCATCCTTATCATTTTACACTGAGAAAGTGATGTGGAATGATTTTGGGAAGTTTTAAAAAAATAAGGATGAGTTTTACAAAATAGAAATCATAATTTTTGGAAATTGTGTAACAGAGAACGGTTGCTAACTTTTTGAGTAACCGATGAGACTTTTTGGCGATTAGTAACTGGTGCATAGATTTTGATTTACCGGTTACTCACCTCACTGGGGGGTTGAATCTTGGTGCTCACAAAGCTGACCGTTGCTTGCAAGCACAGTTATTGACAATCAGTTTTAAAATACCATGAACATTTTTCAAATCAAATCAAAACCTTCTAAAATGTGAATGTTTAAAACACAAAATAATGTAGGAATAAGGCATCTAAATGCAATTATACCATGATCACATATCCTTGTTAACACGACTTGACAGAACATGGGTATGGGTATAGGATATGTGTCTGACACGTGAACCCAAATAAGACACCCTGATCCTTCACATGGCATGATTGAAGAAGAATAAAAAAACTTAAAGTTAATAGAAAATATGAGCTTTGGAAACCTTTTCTTTTACCACATTCCATTTAATTTGAGTAATAATTGTGTATATTCTTATAAAACAACATTCATGCTCTGCTTGCTAGGAGGGGTAGAAAAATGGATGGAAAGGAGAGGGAGAGAAATGGATGAGGCATCCCTAGGGAGGGGAAGGTGTCTTCCTTACTTTTTGTTTGGTTGAGCGGAAGAGATAGTAGAAATGATAAATGCGGTGACTCCTTTTTTTTGTTTGATTAGAAGGAAGTGAATGAATTTATAATTTTTTTACCAGAATACTCATTATGTAAACTAATACACAAGTCTGAAGGGTAGTATTGTCATTTATGGTATCTATAATAGTTTTTCTTGTCATCCTTCCTCCCTTCAATCCACTTTTGGAGGAATTAAAATTTGCAGCCCAAGAAGGATGGCTCATCCATCCTCTCTTCCCTCCTTGTCTCCTCTTTATCAAACGAGGAAGCCCACTGCCTTTTTTCTTCCCTCCATCTCTCTTCCGTCTCTCCTACCAAATGGAGCATTAACATTGTACTATATAAAAGTGTAAAACGTATAGTGTATTTAAATGTGTAGTACATGTCTACATTTATGTATCTAACTCTTGGACACATACCCCCGTGTCCTAAGATTTGGGATTCGAGGTCTGATATTTAGATACACATCCGCACCCAATACACCTATCCGTGTGTCAAGGTAACATAACTAATCAGTGATTTGTGAGGACTTCCTCAATCTTCAAGATGTCCGAAAATAATTCGGGACTCGAATGAAATGGAAAAAGGTACAACTCAGAGCTTTTGACAATGCTAACAATACTTTGAGTCAAGTAGCCTTTCTTTTTGTGTTTTTTTCCCCTGCAAATTAATCTTATTTTGAATCACAGGTTTTCCGTTAAGGATGACCTATTTGTCCTTTAATGCTCAAATTTGTTCCTTATTTTGCTTTTGTAAAGAGTTTCATATTGTATATATTCTTGTTACAAGCTGGAGATTGTTTTGAGTATGAGGATATGATCACTCTTTTTTGTGCGGTAACTTTTAGTGTGTTTAATTTACAAGAATCAGGGGTTTAGCCAACCTTAGTGTGCGTCTTGTCACTTGATTTCTGACTCAAGACAATGGTCTATGTGGTGTGTGTTTAATTTTAACCTTTCAAATATATATTTTTCAAGAAAGCAATTTGAGATAGAGCTTCCTTACAGATGACGTTAACCAGTTTGAGAAGTTCAGATTGTCTTCCATCGGCTTCCAAGGACAAATTTCAATTCTTAGTGGTTATTGCCAAACTGCCAATACAGCTATTAAGATTGTAAACCTTACTACCGTAATAACGTTCTCTTACTTATCTCAATCACAATTTAAGCGAAATGACCGGTGAAGCACCCACTAGTAATTGCTATTTAGCATGAAAAGTGTAGTGCTATCATACTGCATGGGACTCCTAAAAGTACTGCTGCTCAGTTGCGTCACAAAATCAGCCATGTAAAATGGTTTACATCTATAACCTTCTTCATATACTAGTTGCCTGCCATTAAATGCTATATCATACTTCAAATAACTGCCATCTGCCTTTTATTTATTTATTTTATACAACACCCAACCCCTCCACCCCAACCCCCCCCCCCCCCCCCCACACACACACAAGGAATTGTTTGCACCCAAGAGGATTCGAACCTTAGACCTCCTGATACTTCCTGAGGTACCAGGGCCAAGTTCTTACCCGCTTGAGCCCTATGTTACATGGACTTGGCTACGTGTGTCGGACAAGGGTATGTATCCATATGTCAATGTGTCAAATTTCCAAATAGAAGAACACATGAACATGGCTAAATATTCATTTTATTAATTATTTTATTTTATTTTCAGTAATGTTTTTTTTAATAAAATGTTCTTTATGGGCATTTAACTCATTTTAAAGCAATAATATAATATAATTGAGTGATTGGATATGCTTTTTAAGTACATGTCCAACCAAAAGTATCGGACAAATATCCCATACCCATGTCCGAGTAATAGGTGTCCGACATGGGTACTTCACTACTTTTGAAGAGTCCATGTACCATAGCTTGAGCCAACCTCTTGGGGTTCTGCCATCTGCCTTTTATTTATTTATTTTCTTAGTTTATTTAGATATCAGGTTATGTTGTGAAGTTATAAATTCTTGTTTCAGGTCACACAACTCTCCCCGTCCACACTGAAGTCCTTGGGTGTACCTGTATCCCACTGTGTGCAGTATCCTAGGGAGTTTGTCCTTGTTCTCCCAGGGGCATATCATTCAGCACTCGATTGTGGCTTTAACTGTTCTGAAGTGGCAAATTTTGCTCCCTTCGACTGGTTACCTCATGGGCAGTATGCTGTAGAACTCTATAGCGAGCAGTGTAGAAACACATTAATCTCCCATGATAGGCTGTTGCTGGGTGCTGCCATGGAAGCTGTGAGGGCGCAGTGGGAACTCTCTCTGATAAAGAAGAATTCCATAGATAATCTGAGATGGAAAAGTGTCTGCGGAAAGGATGGAATCTTAGCAAAAGCTTTCAGGGTAAGCTTATATTTCATGCATTCTTGTTATATCTGCTAAAGCAAACTTTTGTGCTGCTTGAAAATTCCACATCCCAAGGTGTGTCCGAATATGCATGTGAATCACTCCACTGTAGAAGATTGAATCAGGCACCAATTGTTTTCCTAGAGGGCATATTTTGTTGAGTCATTCTTCACCTGCTACTTTGGCATTTGATATTTTTGGATTTGTTTTTGTCTTTTTTATCAACATAGGTCATTATACGTTGGTCTAATTTTATGATTGCAAGCTAGCCATTAATTTTTATGACAAAATAAAAAGCCATTTATTAGGTGTAATGTTGAAGTAAGATCTTGAAATTTTGTTTGTTTCTTGCATAGTCGCGTGTTAAGCGGGAAGGCCGAAGGATGGAATATCTTTGCAATTCTTCACGGTTACGAAAGATGGGGGACGACTTCGATGCTACGAGTAAAAGGGAATGTGTTACATGCCTTTTTGATTTACACCTTTCTGCCACAGGTTGTCCATGCTCCCCAAACATATATTCTTGCCTAAAGCATGCAAAACATCTTTGTCCCTGTGCTTGGAGTGATAAATTTTTTCTTTTTCGATATGCAATTAGTGATTTAAATGTGCTTGTTGAAGCACTGGAAGGGAAATTAAGTGCAGTTTATAGATGGGCTAAAGAAAATCTTGGGTTGTCTTTACATTCATATGCCTCCAAAGAGACTTTGCGGGTACCTAGGCTTGGTGATACATCCTCTTCTGCTGAAGACTTGAAGCGAAGAAAATTTAATACCGAAAATGCAGCTGCAGACGATGGCTATGAGAAAACAAAGGCAGCAGTGCCACAGGGAACATCCTTGTGTAATCTGAAAGAGAATAAAAACACTTCTTTTACAGTTGGCTCAAGTGGTACCACAGATGAAACCTCTTCTTTACAGAATGAGAAGCCATCCGAAGTGTTAACTGATAATGTGGGTTTCTTGCGTGCTTCAAAATCTGAAAAAGAAATTCCTGGTCTTGGCTTCCAGTTGAAGGGAAAGGAAAGCTTCTTTTCTGTTTCCTATTCAAATTCTCATGCTCATCTCAATAAAGTGGTTGGTTCCTCTGGCAAGCAAAATATTGTTAAGTGCTCTCACACAAGTTTCAAAGAAGCTCCTTTAAGCAATTTAGCTTCTGAGAAACAAACAACTGAAAAATCTTCGCCTTGCTATCAAAATAATGCTATTCTTCTAAGTGATGATGAGGGTGAGGGGCAATAAGTGTATAGTATTGTGAATAGGACTTGATAATTCTAAGTTATCGCAGTTATACTGCTTAGGGAACATGATTTTAGATGATAGCTTTAACGTAAAGCTGATCTCAGCGGTCTGTATCTTCTGTTGTTGATTGTTATAATTATTGATAGCCGTTTCCAAAAATTGTTATTGGAGACAAAGATTGAGGTATTCAATGCATATTAGTTCACTACAAATTTTAAACTTGTGAGTTCCCTTCTCGGAATCTGCTTTCTTGTTTCTTTAGAGAAACTCTTCCAGCCTTTCTTTTAGTACAATGCCAGACCTATAAGGAGTTGGCAACTTCTAAAGTTCATGTTGATGAGAATGTATTGATGATATGAAATGGTATAATATTTGTTCAGATTTCTCTTTCTGGACTCTCCTTATGACATTTATAACAAGAATTTATTGAAGCTAAATATTGCCAATACTTCAGTCTTGGAATTATTCAGGTAAAATGTTTCTTCTTCGTAATTAATTTTTTCATCATCATTTATTTATTAATGTTGTTACAGTGGTGATTGTTCTAGGTGTTGTAATCGATAGGTGACCTGCATTTGGAGAGAGGATGTAGGGCTCTTCTCAAGCAATATCTTCACAGGATGATTGCCCCTTACAGGTAAGCAATCAATTATAGAAACCCTTTTCTAAATGATGGATTTTCTAGATATGTGCCACAGACTGGTAGTCCTGAAATATACGGTAGCTGTAAAAATTATGGAGGTAAAGTTTCTAGGCACGGGATGATTTAAAGAAGAACCTTCACTTAAAATGGTTTGAATTTATATACTTGATTTGAAAAATATTAATATTTTTAGTTGTGATTGGTAATCATGAGTCTGTGCATGGGGCGTGGGGTACTGTACACCGGACCAAGGGCTGGGGTTTGGGCTTTGATTTTCTTTATTAGCTTCAGTCTAGAAATTTTTGGTTGCGGTTACCCACTTAGGTAAACTTATCTCGTCTATTAGGATAATCGCATCTTTGTCTACAGAAGAGAGTACAGACACTCCAAACTGTTTCTGTTCTTGCTCAGTTATTGCAACTACACCTATTTCTCTCTCTTTCTATATACATATATATATATATATATGTTTGTATGTGTGTGAATTTTATCTGTGCATATGGCTGTGTGTAAATCGTGTATAAATTAAGGCCATGGTACAATTTGGTCAAAAACCAGAGAGTAAACTGCAGTTGGACATATAACATTGTCTTAGCCATCGGTGTACTTGGGGCTACTACCTCTGTAAGAGTAGTTTTAACCATTGGTTGTGTGTTGTGTGACCATATAGGGATGTGCGCCCTGTGAAATGTCATAGACCATGGACCACATTGGTCCTCAGGTTAGACCATGATGTGTGTGATTAGAAAATTTCAATATATGGTGTACTTGTTCATTACATATTATGATATCTGACAATACATGTAACATGGTGGTTCTTAATGCATTTAACAGCACCATTAGACATGTCAGAATCATGTGGGTAAATCTACTGGTGGAAGTTTTACTTTTGCAGTGAGGTTGGGTTCCATCCTCCAAAAGGCTCACAACCCGTGACAAGTCGGACCCTTGATTCCTCTCCACTATAAAATTTTGTATTGTACTTTGCTATGCTCTGCGTATTTACTATTTACATTATTCAGAATACAACACTACACTATTATTATATCGACTGTGCGGCATTATTATTGGGTTTCGTTGTCCATTTATATTGAGGATGCAACACTGATTCAAAGTTTTTGCCTTTTTTAAGTAATGTTACACAACCCGTGACAAGTCGGACCCTTGATTCCTCTCCACTATAAAATTTTGTATTGTTCTTTGCTATGCTCTCTGCGTATTTACTATTTACATTATTGAGAATACAACATAACACTATTACATCGTTAGTGCGGCATTATTATTGTGTTTCGTCGTTCATTTAGATCGAGGATGCAACACTGATTCAAAGTGTCTGCATTTTTTAAGTAATGTTATATTGTTATATCTGGATGTATTGTGTTGCATGAGGTTGTATTATCGATACAATTGTTGCATTTTTGATACAGGAAAGTACAGTTAAAGATTTGTATCTTAGGGGGTCATGTGAAGTGGTCATAATCATGATTATGACCTGTTTAATTGACATGGAAACAAGGGGGGTGCTTTTCACGTGAGTGGTTCATGATAAGAGCCATAATTTATGGGGGTTTGTTTAGCTAAAGACTAACTGACGAGAGTAAAATTATTTTTCTTAGAATTTTCTATGTACAACTGGAATATATTGGTTGTATATATCATTATCAGATTATGAATTATAGTATTTAGTTAAAAAATAAAAAATAAATAAACCATAGGATCTAATATGCATGAGCTATATAGTCTTTTGTGAGTCGATCTTTTTAACATTAAATTTAATAAGAATCTTTAGTGATTCTTATTAAATTTTTAAAGATGACACGATAGAAGTAATGAATTTTACTTGAAATTTAAGTTGTCTGTCAATAAAAGCTTAATAGTTTAGTCATATTTACTAAATCAATTAATAAAAATGAAAGAAACGACAGTTTATGATATGAAACATGTTAAAACGGTTATAGGTCTCAAGTTTTGAAAGGAATGTCGTAGACTCGTAGGTAATCTAATATAGAATACCAATTTAATAATTTGGGTCAAAAAAAACAAAGAGACAGCACCCTAATTTATTTTTAGAGCGGCTTCCAGACCTTTATAATGACATGACTTTGATTCTTGATTGAATGAATAAATTAAACTATTATAGTCTTTTTATATTGAGTGGGAGGTGATAAATACGCTCCAAAAAATTATTCACTTTTATTGTAAAATAATATAATTATTCCTAAATCGATAAATAAGAAGAAAGAAGTATATTAAAAATATTTATGTCATTTAATTTAGAAGAGAGAGAGAGAGAGTTCATTTAAGTATATTTTTATCGTCTCCAGATTAAAATTTCACGTCGATCCAAGTAGACGGGGGGTCTGTTCGTGCAAAAGTCTGCTTTCACCGCTAAAAGTGGAAGTAAAATGGGACCCACAACTTCACCTTTCTGTTCTAGTATAAGGTTTTGACTGTCGGGACCCAATAATGGAATGGGCAAAGCTTTTGACGGAGACGCGACAAGGTTATGGTACGATTCACGCTCATCAAGACTCAATGGACTGTAGCGCCTTGATTGCGCCACGCGTAAGAAGGTAGGGATTAGGTCAAAAGTGTTTTTTCTTTGCACTGTAGCCGACATAAGTGACAGGGGTGCACGTGGGGTTTCTGAATGGTTGTAAATGAGGACCCACTTGTTGTCAAATCAAACGCCCCGTTTGATTGACCGTAGAATGCGGGATTCTCGTACGAGTATTTTGATCTCTGTGTATTTTGGCGGGTAAAGATTAAACACCAAGATGTTTTCAAACACGCGCTTACAAGATGTGTAGTTTACAAGCTGCGAAACGTAAAGATGTTTTAACCAAGTGGATGTTGTTTTCTTTTGGTAATTTAGGCCAACACTTTTCTAGCTAAATCTACATCCAAAATCAAAACCCTGAAATTCAAAGAAAACGATTGAAAGAAAACTATAGTTTTATTTGAAATACTGACAGTTACACACACTTAACATTATACAGAGAAAGAAATTAAAAAAAAAAAAAATATTGGGGTAGGTGATGGTGAAGGTGGACATTTAGAGACAGGGCTAGGGAGAAAACAAATGTCTTAATAATTTGGTGGGTAAATGTCTTCGGTGAATTTTGGAGTGTTAAGTTTAAACTTTATACCTACTAATCTAACTTCTAACCTAATCTCTCAAATTCCTACTTATGCTTTTGTATTTATGGGAAGTAATTGTAATTCTGCATAGAGAAATTAAACCCGCCTCTCCCTCCAAATTTTTTTAAAAAATTTATTTGTGGTTACATATTTATGGTTACTAGTAAAAACACATGCTATGATCGGAAGTGTGTGCATAAAGTAAAAAATTTATAAGGATAAAAAAATAATATACAAGCATAATTTTATATTATTATTTATTATATATAAAAGTTTATAAAAACATATTATTTATTGAAATAATTAACAATATAAAAATTAAAATAATTTATAAAAAAATTAATATAAAAAAATTTTGTATGTATAATTCTTCGTTTAAGATTTTATTGGTATATTTTTATATATAATTGTTGTTATGTATTTATTGAAATAAATTATATATTTTCTTCTCTAATTAGTTTTCTTTTTATTGAATTTTAGTATTTCCTACTAATATATTATTATCAGTGTTTCTTCTCTAATTAGAATTTTATTTTATTGAATTAAATAAATAAGTTTTTTAATATTATATATTTTCTTCTCTAATTTTATTAAATTTCAGTAATTCAATTTTTAAATAATATATATTTTCTTTTTAATTAGATTTCCTACTACTATATTATTATTATTATTAGTTTTTACTACTATAATTATTTCTACTACTAGATTTTTAAATTAGGTTTTAATATTATATATTTTCTTATCTAATTAGATTTCCATTTGTTGAATTTCAGTATTTCCTAATACTATATAATAATTATTATTATTAGTATTTCATTCCCTAATTAGATTTTCTTTTTTTCAAATTAAAAAAATAAGTTTTTAATATTATATATTTTATTTTCAAATTATATTTCCTTTTATTGAATTTTATAAGAATATTACTACAAGTTAATGATTTGAAACACCTTATACTTTAATTATAGTTTAGATTAAAGCTTAGTTTTAAATAATAAAAAAATAGGATTGCAATCATTGTTAAAATTTATTAGCACTTTATTTATATCATTTATAACCTTATTTTAATATTTACAATATATTATTACGCCAAGGTCCTGGGTGGTGGTTAGAGAAATTTTAGTATAAATTTTGAACTAAATTATCTCAAATTTCAATTTTAAGGCATCGATTTGATACACCTAAACATAACATCAAGGTTATTATTTTGAAATCCCACGTCCGAGTGCTTCGTATAAATTATCTGATTTTACATTGCATTCACAAATTCAAGTTCAAAGAAATAAATAATAATAATACTTCATTAGTCCAAAAAACAAATGTTCACCTTTCTATTTTTGGTTGTCCCATAATAAATGTCTTATTTGAAAAGTTATTATTTTTGTAATATTAGCAATTTAAATTTCTTGTATTTAACTTATAAAATTAAACTATCACATTCATATGAACCTACTATGAATAGATTTGATAATTTAATTACTATCAATATAATAATAATAAAATATTAAAAGGGAAAATTATATTTTGGTGATCAAAATTAAACATAATTATAGTGACCTTAAAGTCAAGAAAAGTTAAATAGTGATCAATTTTGAAACTTAATTGATATTAAGTGACCATTAAGGATAATTTGGTCACAAACACTTAAAAGTTTAATAAAAATTTTAAAAATAAATTTTAGATGACAAAATTGCCATCTAATATAAATAATAAGTCATTAAATTCATCTTCCTCCTATTCTCTCTCTTTCTCTCTAATCCAACGTTTTCTTTTTTTCCTTTTTAGTTTATAATTTACCAATTTAAAAAATTAAGATTTTTTATATCAACATTATCTTTTTTTTACCCTTTATCTATTTTTCAAGGCTCTCAACCATCTAATAATTTTCTTTTTAGTTTACAATTTACCAATTTAAAAAATTAAAATTTCTTTATCAACATTATCTCTTTTCCATCATTTATTTATTTTTCAAGGCTCTCCAGCATGAACGCTCATAACATTTACAGTGGCAAATCATACTTTTGAAACACCCTTTAACAGTTAGTAAAATTATGAAATTAATCAACAATAGTCATTATGTCTTGAACTATAACTAAGTAGTATTAAAATTTTCTAAAAATTACAATCTTATATCTTAAGGAAGATCTCTCAGACAAATCAATTCGTAAAGTATAATAATTATACCTTGAAAATAATGAATAAGAAGAAAATTCACAATTTTCTCGTTATGTCCCTTAGAATCTCGAAGAAAATAATGTATAATATCCATCATCAGTTCTCTCCCATCTTGATCTTCTCTTCAGAGACTCACCCTAATAATCTGTCATCTTTTTGTTAGTCAATTTAAGTAAGTGTTTATTTAGGTTAATGTAAAGGGTAAATTTGTCTACTTACATAATAATATATTATAAAAAGGCTATTTAGGTAATAAACCATTAAATGGTCACTTAATATCAATTAAGTTTCAAAATTAGTCACTATTCACCTTTTCTTGACTTTAAGGTCACTATATAGCAATTATATTTAATTTTGGTCACCAAAATATAATTTTCCTATATTAAAACATATGTTCTTCAAGAGTAAGATTTTCAAATTAGACATTTATTATGGAATGAAGGGAGTACATATGGGGTGGAGCTAATTAAGGCCCAGAGGGGGCACGCGCCCCTGCCCTTGCTCCAACCTACTATGCATAAGTACATATATTTGCTACATACGTATATTTATATGGTAATTTTAAATAGTGTCCCCCTAAAATTTTCAAATTCTTCTAATTTTCTTTTGAAAAAAAAATTACATATATTTCTCTTCTTCAAGTATACCATATATTTTTCTTTTTCTAATTTTTGTTTCGTTTTTCAAAAAATTTCTTTTTTTACTTATGTATAATTATGTATTTTTTTTTTATTTTTTCCACTTATTTTTTTTATCGATGATATTTGTGATTGTATTTAATTAAAATATAATTAATTAATATTTTGATTCTTATATTTGTAATTATATTTTTTTTACAATATTTATTTAGTATATTATTTTATAATTATTTTTTTCTTGTTTACCTTTTAATT